GATATTTCATTTCAATATAATGTCTCATCGTGTTATATAGTATTCAATCAACATCTATATATAAGTGAATACGTCCTACATTTAATAAACTAAATTTTCAATGTAGAAAGTGATATTTGATTTGCACTAATAATAATTTCGTTTGTAGTGGAAATTATAAAAAATAGCATTTTGGAAAAATGATTTAATCGACTTAAGATAAAAAGAATTTTGATATTTTTTGAAATTATTCGGAATTATTTGTTTATAATAATTTTATTTTTATTTATAGTTAAATTCTTTGAAAGATATTATATTAACAATATAACTTTGACTGAACAAAGTTATTATTACAAATAATTTTAAACGAAATATCATTTTTATCACTTTTTGTACTAAAAATTTAATAAAAATGAAATATCAAACTTATATTGAATTAATTATATGTGCAATCCTCTTTGTTTAACACAATCAACATGCGAAATAGATTTTCCATTTTTATTCATTTTTATATTATTTCAACACACGTTTTATTTTCAGAAATTAATTAATATCTGTGACGTACACATGATGACACAGATATTTCATATTATTGCAATCTGCAATCGTTATCATTTAGATGTTAAAATTAATTTAATTTAATTTTCTTCGTGATAACGAGCATATCTCTAATTTCTCCATTTCTTAGCTTTGCGGATTAACGGTTTATAGTAGATCGCAGATTTTATTTGTGCTTAAGAACATTTTTGCTGCGTTGCTGCGCGTCCCAGCCTTTTCGAATTATCCCGTCCGCTAACTTTATTGCAGGCCCTATTCTATCGTCACGACATCGACTCAAAGTTCGCCAGATAGGCTCTCGGCCAGATACGTAGCGGATACCAGACACCATGCCAAAGCGCCGATTGTTTATTGGTGCTGACGTGTCAGCAGAGAAAAGTGTCTCGCGCGAAATAAATATTTCGGACTGCGAATTAATTTAATGTGCATTAAACCAATTAGTTCGATTTACGCGAACGATGCGGAATAATTTACCGGATTCGACCAAGATCTCGGTAAATTGCTCGGCTCGGATTTTTGAGAGAAGCACAAAATTTTCGCACGTGCGGATCATAAATTGGTGAAATCATGTCGCTAGCCTTGATCTATAACTGACTTACGTTCAAGAATCCCGCGTGGTATCCCGGCAATGCGTTTGATGCTTTTTAAACAACACATTGTAATCAATGTTGTTTCTTCTCATGGCAAAAATATGTATATTCATGCGAGGTTCAACGGTGCCAAAAAAGATCGATCGATTAATACTATTTAAGATGGAGAACTCTAACTATCTAATTATAATACATATGTGCGCACATCGTGCAAAACATGCGGCATAATTTTGCTCAGTTACGTATAAAGTTATAGCTTTTTTTATGGTTTAAAAATACGTAATTAAAAAGTTTATTAGAGGGTCAGGATGTTACAGCTCTGATTTCATTATGTAAGCGATTCGAACAAAAAGATTAAAATTATAAATGCGTGCTGTCGAGATGTTGTAATCGCGTGTTTGCTTATTTTATACGTGTACCAAGCAACAGGTCGTGAGATATTTTCAAATATTTGTGAAAGATGCAATGGGCTTAAATCAACAATATGGTCCCGAATAAACCAGGTTACCCCTTTATATATGATAAACACACATTTTTACAGATTATATTAAAAAATTCGAATTGAATTATAATTGATGGAGCTTAATAATTAATAAAACGCGCTAAATATTATATATAATACATGTATGTAAGTATGCGTGCAGTGCATTTGAAGTACAAACTTAGTACATAGTATGTTAATTAGCGGAGACAAATAAACGTCATATCGTTGTTTCTTGAATATTCGATTACGTAATCTTACAATGTCACCGTACACACGTTCATAAAGTATTAGTATGTAAGTTGCAATCCATCACGATGTCAATCTATCCATGGAAAATTAATAGTTTGAATAATCCGAATAAATTATTGATTTCTCTTGTAATTTGTAACCAACATCTTTCTTTTGTATATATCTCTTGTATATTTATATAACAAGATACATAAATTATATACAAAAAATTAATATTATAGCGAAACATTTTATTCGTACACAATACTCCGGAATAATAATAATGATTATTTTAATTAATTTTTTTAATAATAATGAGAATTTTAATTAAATTTGTCCCAATAACAATAATTATTATTTTAATTAAGTCTGTCTTTCAATTCTTTACAGAAATACAAATTAGTAGTGAGTTGATATATGTGTTTGTCATAAGATTTATAGTCTTTGTTGTCATTTTTATTGTCAGCGAATATTTTAAGAAAAAAAAAGATAGAGATTATTAAATAATTATTTTATAAGATACTTTGGAAAATTAAATTTCTAAAACAAACAGTGATATATTCGCCGATTAATGTACAATCTAATGGAATTTTTTGGAAGCGCAGTCAAAAATATTGAATACTGAATTTTAGAAAGCTGTGACAAATGATAAGCTTTCTTAATTTACATGTGACATTAATTATACGACAGTTTGTAACATATGAGAGATTTTGTAACTTTTGCTACATATTTTTACGTGAAAAATATTATAAATTTTTTCAATTTCTTTTTATTTATGTCAAGGATACTCATTATGTTGAATTCATAAACTAATTTATTATTTATAATTATAACTGTATTGAATTAAAATCTTAAAAATATAGATATATATAGCATTCACATGAGATTATTTTACAATGATTGTATTTATTTGCCGTACTCTCGTCGAGAAACCAAATTCTCTGATGACACATTTAAATACTGGAATGCCTGCCTCAAGGCCGATGATGAACACAAAGACTTATCCATACACACACATCTATATAGTCGTCATCTCGTAAAAAATGGATAACCGAATTTAAAGATTTTCTGCAAACATACTGCGATGTAATCGGAGAATCGAAGAAATATTTATGTACAATACGTTAACTTTGTATGCATAACACATTAATAATAGACGAAGAATTAATTTAATAAATATAAATTAAATTTGAGAGATAATTTTCTCGCCTCCAATTTTGAATGAATTTTCATTTAATTAAAATGTTACTATGTATTAGATTTGTTATATATAAAGTTATGATTATATCTTGAAATAAAAAAATTGTAAATATAGAATAATTAAAAATTGAATAAATAAAAAAAGTAAAAAAAATTATAAATATAACAATCTTAATGCTTAATTTTTTATATACACACACAATTGAGACACAATTGATTATCATTGATTATCATTGAAAACTTTTATCCAAAGTACCAATATCAATATCACATCTCTCCGAGGACACTTTAATTTACGTTTAATATCTTTGTAATGCTGTATGGCAAGCCAATATTCCGCGTTAATTGACATAATTCTATTCTACCTCTCGCTTTACGCTTATCACTTACCACTTTAGCGAAAACAAACCGTCTCAATGTGATTTCCGTAGAATTTTAAATTATTTTTTGTGGAATGGCCAATGTCATTTGCATAATATCTTGGTAAGTGGAATGCAAATACTAATGTCGTCAGACAGTAAAACTTACGACCGATACAAGTCACAACGTTGTAAACTATACAAGTGCAAGGACCCGTACGCAAACCACAAACGTGCAAAAAGTAAAATTATTATGACTGTTGTTAAATACATGTATGTGTGTGTATGTATGTATGTAACTGAGAGATTTTCAAAATAGAATCTATTTGCTTTGTGAATTTTCCAGAAAATAATTTTGATATTAAATTAATTTTGATATCAAATATGCTCTGTCTGTAAATAAATATCCTTGTGTTATGTATGTGCGTATGTGTGCAAAAAATTTTTTTAAATATTACATAAATTACATTAATTTTATCAAATAAATATGCGTGTATATATATATATATATATATATATATATATATATTTGCATGTGTAAAAAATCTTTGAAATCTTTGAAATTGTCAGTGCCATCAATATACACGCGCATGTAAGATACACGCGCAACTGTTTATTGGAGTGTACACGTACACTCAGATATTAGTTATCGTCATGGCTCATATGTACTGTAAATTTATTTTTGTCCACACTCTCGCGACAGTGTATTAGTCGACTATATAACTGCGGGAAGCTGTACGCGATGTAATAAAGAAACTACGTGTCTCTGCATGAGGTATGATATATTTATACGTAAATTGGGATATTTGTCGTGGGAGTAGAAATTATTGAATCAAAAATTCATGTGTGAATAATTCAGCTGATTCTTCATCTCTTGTTATATTCAGCATCATGAACACGAAATTTGTTTATTATTATTATTATTATTATTATTATTATTATTATTATTATTATCATTATTATTATCATCATCATCATCATCCTCATCATCATCATTATTATTATAAAACAAGCAATTATCAGCCGAATATGATATTATTGAGAATAAATAAAACAAGAAAATATAACAATAAGAAAATATAAACAGAAATATAAACATTATAAAGAAAATATAACAGAGAATATAACAATTTTTTAATGTAATAATAATTTTCACAATTATTATAGTATTATAACTATATATCGCAACTATCATAATTAGATATAGTTAGACTATTATACAAGAAATTATATAATGCCTTATGCATTAATATCTTCTTTTTGATAAAATCGAAGTATCATCAAAAGATCGCTTTCAATATTGTATTATAATATATTAATTTCTACATAAAATTAATTTACTGCATTTTGATTTATGGAAATTTAAATTCGAGGTGGATATATATACTCACATTATTAACATATAAAAATTTTGTTAAAAGAAGTTTGTTATAACTTAATTTATGGAAATATGTAAATTTAAAGTAAATATAGTAGTATATCACTTAGTATATTAATAATATATGAAGATGCATTTCTATAATTTATAAAATAAAAAACTTTTATGTTTCGTATGTTAATAATTCATTACTACTAAATTCCACTCCTCATTTCTTTTTACAGCAACCCACGTGCGTCGCGGAATATGGCAGAAAAGCAACGCCGTGACAATCTCAATACAAATATCTCGACGATGGCGGCCCTCGTACCTATCGTTGCTGGAAGTTCGAGGAGGATGGACAAGATATCCATTCTGAGATTAGCGGCCGCCTTCCTAAGGACACAATACAGTAAGTTGAATTTTTTAAAATTCTTTCCTACAAAATATGTTTTAATTATAATTTCTTATTAATCATCATATTCTGTTATTGTTATTCTAAATTTTTACTGTAATTAAATTCGTAATATAATTTATTATTAATTTCCTTATATTTTTATTATTATTTTAATATTTCTAGATATTTTTTCGTTTTCTTATTTCACTATTATAAATTTCGCTAAATAATAAATGAGGCTGAATTACTTGTCACATCACATATACTTTTAATGTAAATAGACTTAATCAGAAGTCTAAACTCACGGTCTCATCATTTCTCATATACTTTATGTATTATTTATAGTACTCGGACGTCGTTCGACGAATTTTCTTCCCCGACAGTTCAACGAGTTTGACTTGGAGCAATATTTTGTCGACGTAAGTACACAACGCTTATAAGTGATGCAAATCTTGAGACGAGCGGCATTGTAGACTCGTTTTTCAAATTATAATAGCACATAGTTGACAGCGGAGGGTTCTTCCTCGTAGTCACTGCAACAGGGAAAATCGTCTACGTCAGCCGACAAGTGGAGCAACACCTCGGTCATGTTCAGGTGAGTTTTTCTCCTGACTATGCAGCGAATTATTCTCATTAATATAACTGAATAATTTTGTCAATTATTTCTTCTCTTAAAGTTTACTTTGCCAGGAGTTCCTTTTGATAAAATTAAAATTAATTGTTCGAGTATTTTATACTTCGACAATTTGCATTACATTATTGCAGAGAATGTAGTTACCTCTGCTTTCTTGCAATATATAAAACAACAAGCAATTAAAAACTTGATTAACCACGAATATATCAGAATTATCTTTGCTTCTCTCATGTTCGTTCTCGATATCTCGATAAAGAATAGCTTATCGAGATATATAAATGAAAATGTAAACACATTATGCCGATGAAAAGGAGAGAGGGAAAGAGAGAGAGAGAGCTGAAGGTACATAACTTTTCAATATGAAAATACGTTTGTCTGACAGCGAAACATATTAATGCGCTTTTTTATGTATCGATGATCGAAAATCAAACTTATATCTCGCATTGCTCGTGATAAAACACTCGAAATATTCATCCGGTGATTATTCAAAGAACCTAATCGTACACATCGGTGTTTGGCGAAATTTTTCATTCTCTCCCGTCCTTTTTTTTTAACAGCATATTTATATTGCGGCCATTGAAAAGTATACGACCGTATAATATTTTCGCGCCGGCGCTGAGAAGAATGTAAATAGGCGGTCGGAGAGGAAGAGGAAAAAAAAGAGGACAGAGGAGAGCGATCACGATCTCTCGCGGCTGCAGCTGCAGCTGCAACACCGACCTGCCCTGTACGCGCGGAGTTAGGAATTATCGATCAAATGAGTGCGTGCAACGCAAATACGCTCCCATGGCAACCGTGTGCCCTCTGCTCCTTTTCGCTCGCTATGAACGTACATATCTACCAATATCCGTATTCGTTTCGCGTATTTGTACGTGGGAATTACCCACGCGATTGCTCGCGAAAAAGGATCGCGTGTCCATTCGCGCGTTTCACGATGAAAAATAAAAAAAAAAAAAAGACTCGTCCGCTGCCGATGAAACGTACGATGATCTCGCTTGGTAATTATTCACCGGATCCACGTGCGACTTTTTCCGGAAATTCGCGCGTTTAACCTGGTGGGAATATTCTAATGGATTCGATGAGATTTCGGGAGAATTAAAACACGTTAAATTACGGAATTTGTAAAATTAAAAGATACGAAGAAATTTAACGTTATTTAACTACGCGAGGGAGAGAGAAAAAAAAGGATGTTTCTCCCTATATTTCATAAAAAAGTACTTTAAATTGAAGTACATTAAATGAAGTACATTCAAATATGTACGTGTAATTATAAGCGCATAGGGATTTAGTTTGAACGATGATACGATAATTGTAACTTAAAATGAGAATTGTGAGTTACTGATTATATTTTAAAATGATACGTAATGTGTGCCAATTTAATGATAAATTAAAATATCATTATGTAAATTATTAATACTAATTAATATTAATACACGCATGATTTTAAAATGCAAATCAAAAGATATAATTTAGATAGATCATTAAGTGAACTGTTCCACCGCTCGTGGTTTTCTCTGTTTGTTCCGTTCATATTAAAAGAAGCGAGCGATAATTACATATCATAAAATGCAAAATTTGGTCGAGAAATATGAATTTTATCGGACGCAATGAAATAAACGTTCCGGGATATCAAAAGAGGAAACGTGGAGAAGGAACGCGTGATTAACCAGAGACAGATTTAAGGATCAAGTAATGAACGTTGCGGGAACAATGCGCACGTCCATTTATATCGTGCTATAGAATCAAGCCGGCTATCTGCTGCAGATATTAAGCGTGTATTGTACAAAAATAATTAGCTCGGTCGATATTGAGATATACATAACGAGAGAATCTCGCTTTGCTACCTGCTGCGCTTCTTTGTCCCTGACGTAGCATAGTCATCTGTCGAGATTGACTGACGGCCTTTCCAAACTATCGGAGACATCGTAATTATGCACGTGACGTCGCTTCAGCATCGGAATAATTTTATATCACTTGGAGTCTCACTGAAGAAACTGAGATAATATATCTTTCATCCGGGTGCAGAATTGCGCAACATTATGAAAAAAAGATTAAATAGATAAGTGAAAAAGTATAAGGAAAAAGTATAAACAGCAAAAGAAGCTTTCATGATATCTTGAAATTGGAAATCAGAAACGGAAGCTAAAAAAATGATATATGGTCAGATATATTTTTAATTTAGTCCTCTAACGCAAATTCCGTCTCGAAGCGACTTTAATTGTGGCGTGTAAGCAAATTCTGCGAAATCTGATATAAAAATTTGAAACACGATAGTAATAAAAGCCTCCAGAGAAAATTCTTATGATAGATTGTAAATAATTAATTTTATTTTTTTTTATTTCTTTTTTTTTAAATATAATTGACATTTTAAATAAACATCAATTATCATTTTTGAGACCAATATTATTATTGAGATTTGTAGCTGTATCTGAATTTGAATTGAAATTATTTTTGGCAATAAATCACAAAGTTTTACAAACAGATTATAACAAATTATTAGTCATATTAAAATATTTGAATATTTTGTACGGAATCAAGTCAACAGTCAACTTAAGTGGAACCAAAATCTACATGAAATCTGCAAATAATTGAAACATAGAAATAACAGAAACCAATAATACAGATTGAATATTAATAATATATTCTTTGTATTCGAAAGAATATTTTTATAAGTGCGACTCACTGATTATTATTTTTATTTTTTTCAAACATAAAGCAATTGAATTACAATTAATTGTGTAAGTAAAAAAAGATTCTTTAAATATTAAAAATTTAATTATTGAGTGTTCAATATCTTTTTTGTGTACGCACAAGATTCTCGTTCACGAGGCCTTGATTTCGCAAGGTTCCCAAATTATCACGGCCAGATTGACCGAGGTTTTTTGTTTAGCAAAACAATCCTTTTGTAACATATAAGGATAATGTGGGCGCTAACGATGGCTAAAACAACCGGCTAATTTTGGGATTTTTGACGAAGAAAATGCGAGTTTAGATTATGACCGATGACGCAAGAACCTCTCAAGGTCCTCAAAATAATACGACCTTGCAAATATTAGACGATAGATTACGAGCTGAAGAATGTATACCTGAAAAAAAAGATATAGACTAATTAAGACAGAAGAAATATTATGGAATTAGAGACAAATGGAGAATGTAAACAGACTTTTTCGATAATTTGTTCTAGCTTTGTTTTATGCATGCTATTCAATAATACATTCCTTATATATTTTTGCAATTGCAACTTTCTCTTCTTGTTAGTATGAAAATATTTTTTTTATTAATAAGATTTTTGTAGTGAAAAATTATCAAACTTGTGTCGTTAAACTGGAGTCATGTAATCATTCCATTGCGGAAGAACCATAAAATTGCGTGCTTTTCTTTATTAATAAATTTATCCTGATTCTTTGCATATTTTAGAAAGCACTTACATTTAAATTCTATACTTCTATCATTTATTTATAGCGCATTCTCTGATTTCCTATAATTAGCTACTTGTTTGTGATGTATTCATTGAATTAAATAGAATTATGCAAGATAATTACATTAGATAATGTTATTAAAGAGAACTAATAATTTAGAATGGATATCGTAATAAAAAAATTCTAATAATCTAAATTTTTAAGAGAGTAATATTAAGAGGAAATCTTCTCGAAGATGTTTTCGTCAAAAGTGCGTGCTTTCATTGAGTAGGGTTATCGCCCTTTTGTTTGCGTTCAAGGCGACACGCATTTACGCGTGATAGATCCAAGATCACTAGGAAAAGCTTTATTCAATAACAAAGATGATACAGCAAGATGAATAAAAATATTATGACATAATGATGATTATTCGCTCGTGGCATCAAACATACAAACATATTTCACAAGAATGATAAAACCAATTAAAATATAGATGTCTAGAAATAAAAATGCGCGTGTGTATCCCAGATTAGGAAGTCCTCGGAGACTTCAATGCGCGTTTCGCATTCTTGTCCGCGTTTCACGAGATTAACGTCGTGCCACGAGAGGAAAGGAGCGCTGTCAACGTGCTTTATCGCTTCTTCATCCTCGCTCCCTCCTCCCCTTGAAGTATCCTCCGTATTTTTGCAGGAGGAAGCAACAACGAGAATAAAGTAAAAAAATGCCCGCGCTATCGATCGCGAGTGACGTCCCAGATTCAGGCATAACGATAATTTGCCACTCTGCCGTAACGAACCGGCTCTTGGGAGCCGATCGAGTCCTTCTCTCCTTCTCCTTTTCTCCTTCGGCTCCTGACATGTAAAGGATGCCAGAGCGAATGGGTTACGCAGAGAAAGAAGGACAGAAAGCGAAAGAGGAAGAGGGAGGGAGAAGAAGAAAAGATGGAAGAGTAGGAGGAAGATGTGCAGGGGCGGGATAGAAGTTGTTTGTGAACGTGGGTTTGCTCTCGTTTTTTAAGAAAACACTCACAATCAGGCTGTATTGTTCTCAAGGAGAAACCGCCTGCCGCGAAAACGAGCTCCGTCGCCGACGCGGTGCACCATCGTCGTCGTCGTCGTCGTCTTCTTCGTCGTTGTTGTTGCCGTTGTCGTTGACATATCGCGATTCGCTGCGCGAAAGGTATCGTTGAGTTTGGCTAAGTGTATATATATATGGCCCTTTACAGAAGGAGTCTGAAACTTTGCGAACGAAACTTTGAAGTATTTCTATTCAGGGAATGAGGGTCTTCCAGCACGTGGAAAATTAATAGAATATAAATCGTCGATTATTAGATTTTAGTTTGTGACAAGGATCGATGGTATTTTTTTCTTGTGCTGGAAAGAAAGCTAATTAATAAACGATACGCATTTGATATCTTTGAAAAACAACGAAAATACAATACTGAAAGCGCCAAAATACTATTATTATTTGTTCTCTCTTGTCTTAAAGTACTATATTATTTATCAGATTTTAAAAGTTAAGAACCAGATTATATTTTTAAATTTTAATGCTTTAAAAAAGAGTAAAATTGAGAATATTAACCTTCTCATAACATACTTTTCCAGTTTCTTTTCAACTTGTTTACAACTAATAAATAATTAATTTTTAATTTAATTTTAGTAATTAATTTTTTATAATAAGTTCTTGTAATACGAATTCTAAGATATTATTATTACTATACGATTCTAGATTCAATGTTGATGTAAACACTCGTATCAGATCACACGAACAACAAGGGTCAATACTAGCGATGATGAGACAGTTTGATCTAAACTTTGAAATTAGAGATTGACTCTCTGTCTGAATTTCGAAACTGTTTGAATTTCGCAGAACGAATTGCTGGGTCAATCTCTGTACAATTTCGTCTATCCCGAGGATCATGACGAGCTTACGCGAAATCTTAGACCCGACGACATACAAACGTCGGCGACGCCATCGCCGACTGGAGTCACGCAGGTGTCCGATTTGGTGCACGACAACAATTCCAGTTCCTCGGAGGATTCGACGGTGAATCACAACAGAGTAAGCGAGAAGAAAAAGCTATTCCACGAGCAGAGGCGGAACTTCAAGATTCGTATGGCGCAGCGCACCGTCTCCAGGCGTGAACACACGCAGTACGAATCTTTTGACATTTCAGGAGTTCTCCGGCTCGCAGAAGCTTGCAAGAATGCGGATGCCAACGGAAATCGAGGGAGACATCGAGGTGAGTCTACATAAAAATTTTTAACACATGAAAAGTGCGTATTAATTACCGCGACATTTAATATAAAATATTAATTACAATTTAATCGACTTGATAAAGCTGAAGACTTTTCAACTTACAATGTTTTAGCATATAATAATATATTGTTTTAGCATATAATAATATAATGTTTTAGCATATAATAATATATTTAAATAACTCGTAAATAATAGTATATTTAAATAACTCGTAAATAGGTATTAAGAAATAAATGAAAGTTGTGAGATATATAGCGGGATATCAATACTTTACTTCATTTCGGCGACATCTATCTTATTCAACTTTTTTTAAATAAAACTCTAATTTTTTTTATATAAATCGATTTCTTGCAACATTTGGCGTAAAATAATGAGAAGAATCAATTGATGTAAAGAAGACACATAATTATTTTTAAGAAAAAAATATGAATTTGCAACGAGCATACACACACACAGTTGCTTACTTTTTCCAATTGATTCCTTTTATTATTTTACGCATAAAAATATTGAAGTTTTTTGAAGTAAAATAAAATAAAAAATGAGCACTTTACAAAATATTTCTCTCTCTCATAGTTTATATAAAATTATATCAAATTAAAGTATAAAATATCTCGTGAAATATATTCAATTTCTGGATAGGATTCCATCTTATTCTTATCATTTTTTACGGAGATTCATTTAAAAAAATTAAGTCGGATGTAAACCGAAATGGTGATGACATTATATCCAGCTTATCCCTAATATGTCTCACAAATTATATTTGAATAATTATTTCCTACTGTTTACGAGTTATTCAAGTGTATTGTTTTCGAAAATCTTGCATAATTACAGACGTCCTTTCGTATTACAAATCAACAATATTGCGCTTCATTATGTATTCTATAACGTGAGCGACTCGAAAGGAGAGGAGTTCCCGCGCGAATTCCCGGATCGATGGTCTTGTTTTATCATGGCTGAAACCCGTAGCGCTGGTTTCATAACGAGTATCGCAAATATTTACGCTACTCCTGTATTTAAATTTAGACCTTCGCCGTCGCCGACGAAGATATGTTAGGCACAGTCACGAGCGTTTAGATTCTTTGAGACCTCGCCTGTTAGATCAGAACTGAAAAGCACGTGTTGTGCGATGCACTGTTTGAGAGATACGCTCAGAGGCGGACTAGCGCAGGTGGATTTACCGGGCATGACGGTTTTATTACGCAAGATGCTCGGACTTGACCGACGCCACCTTTTACTTAGGAATTCTTTGATGTATCTTGAATCGATCTTTCCTTAGTGGATATTTAATGGAAAGGCAACAACTGCCGCCGTAACTTTTCACTTTCCAACATTGAATATCTCAGTAATCTGGTTTAAAATTACATTTTTGTTGGGATAAAGGTTGCTCGAGGCAAGTGAAATATGATTTACGTATTTGCGTTTAAGCTCTGTTTGCATAAAAATATCTTAACTTTCAATAGCTTACAGAGCTCGGAAGTTATCGATGCCTCGAAATTGAATAGAATTGATTATTTTTTCTTCGGTTTAATTTCTAGTATCTTATTAATCGAAAAACATTGTTATAATTTTTCATCGTTACAATTCAATAAATATTAGTAGTCTCGCAAGCCTCTAAATATTTTTTTATCAAATCATGATTCGAGGTTCTCTTTTAAGATAATCATATTTCACTTGCAATTTTATCATATGCGATCGCGTCTGATTGTTTGCTAACTCTAGTTCTATTATATCTTTGACAGAGATGACGGGCACTAGCAACGACATCGTTTTCACTGGCGTAGCGACCCTACCGAAGAAACGGCCCATCACCGAATTGTCAATAATGGACGCCAATAAAGATGAGTATGTGACGCGGCATCTGGTCGACGGGCGTATCATCTATTGCGATCATAGGGTGTCCGTGGTTGCTGGTTACATGTCGGAGGAGGTGTCTGGTCTGAATGCGTTTGCCTTCATGCACAAGGATGATTTTAGATGGACAATGATCGGCCTACGGCAAAGTAAGTTGTTATATTAATTAACATGTAATTAACATCAGAATTTTAAGTGTAATTGACATTAGAATTTTAAATGTTAATTAACATTAGAATTTTTATTTTCGCGTTAAAAGATATTTACAATGTGTACAGCTTGAACAGAGTATCCATGAGCTAAAAAAACATGGAAAATGTGAATTTCTCAGGGATTTTTTTTGTATCTATTAAGGAATTATCATAGAATTTTAGTGAGGGTCAAATAATGTTTTAAAAAATTCTTTCTTTAATAATAATTTTGCTCTTATATTGTAAACAGTCAGTAAGTCAAATGAATTGTTCGTTTCAGACATATTATAAATATATATCTCTATTTATATATTCAATGTCTTACAAAATGCGTAGCATGTATTTTTATTGTAATTTTTAGTGATAAACAAATAATATTATATAATAATATTAAGTAAATATTTATCTTATGAAAATTATTCGATTTTTTTCTACATTTATTTTTGAACAAAAGTATCTGGCAAATCAGTGTATTTTCACGAAATTAAGGATTTCTACAAAGTAGCTACCTTTTCGAAAATTAGTTGAAAGTATATAAATTGTTAAATAAAATATCAAAATATTATGCATTGTTTTATTATATTTGGTCAAATTATTAAAAAATTATATATATTATTTTATTTAAAAAATTACATATATTTAATAATTAGGTAAATAACATTTTATATCATATTACCGACATTATTTTAATACATTCAAGCTTCACGACGAACGTCTATGATATTTTGCATCCTGTTTCCATAATCAATCGCAATTTAAACATGATAATAAAGTATATGTAAAGTGATCTATTTAAAATCCAAGTGTCATTTTGCACATGTTATCACTTATCATTTATTATGCATTCGCAGTGTACGATCGTGCCGAACCGTGTGGTTCATCATGCTACAGGTTACTCACAAAAACCGGTGAATTCATCTACCTACGAACACATGGTTACTTGGAGTACGATAAGGATACACAAACGGTGGAATCCTTCGTTTGCGTCAATACATTGGTATCGTAAGTATATTTCACATTTTTAATTACATTAAAGAACAGATGGAGGGAGTGTAAATGAGAAACCGATTCGCAAATTTATCGAATATCAACGTTAAAGCAATAAATATAAAGAAACAGATTCGATTATTTCTATATTTTTCTTTAAATATTAAATTTGATTTTTTTTGTAAAACAAATATAGCAATAAACATAAGGAAAACTTTGTTGCATGCAGGGAGCAAGAAGGTATCCAACTAATACAAGAGATGAAAAGAAGATTCTCAGCGACTGTGAACACAGCCAGCAAAAATCTTTTGAAGAATATCGACGTTAATTCAGTGACAGAATTACAAGTAAGTCAAATTATATTCTACGCGTTTACAATATTGTTTATATTTGCGTACAAAAGTTGTGAGTGAAAAAAATTGTTTAACGGTTTAAATGTATGTTAGGATTCAAACTCTCAATCATCGAATCCACGATGTGCCTTCCTCGAAGAAGCAGCGCAACTTGAGGACGCCATCAGTCATCTAATTAGCGACTTACCTTCACCGGCTGTATCAGAAGAACAGTTTTCATCCTCGCCGATGCAGCACACACAATATGTAAAGGCCGCCATAATTTCTTCTCGTATGCCACCAGTCTCCGCGCAAGTGAATAAAATTGGTATCAATAAGATTGGCCATTACGTCACTATTCAAAACAATGGCAATCAAACTCCGAAGCAAGAGAACAAGGAACATAAATATACGAATATTGGAAAATATATGAATTGCAGTAGTGCGGAGCAAAGCCCGATATCAGATTCCGAAAGTACGAAGTCATCCAACAAATCTTTGTCGATGCTCGATATGATGAATGGGGTGCACAATAATCATAATAACGTTCAAAATACCGATGTCTCTGGACAATCGAACACTCGCAAACCTAATACGAATCGTTGTCGAAATGTGTCTCGTAATCATACATCATACATGGATGTATCTCAAAACGTGAACGGTTTGAACGCGCAGGAAAGAATAGAACAGCGTAATATGCTGTCACCAAGCGCTTTACACAAAAACAACATCAAGCTTGAATGTGGCATCGAGACGTTCAATCATCAAAAGCAAGAATCACAATACTTTGATGACAGTGCGAGCGATAGTTCTATCATTTCAACGCAAGGGATTGAAACGCATAATCGGTGTATGTTGAAGAGAGTATGTAGCGACGAGGATGTTCCAACGATGCACAGCAAGAAGAGATCTAATGATGTATTATATACTTCGACGAATGCCAATGATGAACAGCAATGCGTTTCCTATGTGAACTGCGCGAATTTCGCCACCGAAAACAAGTATTCGACAGTCGAGTTCAATCGACACAACGATGTTAAGTCACAACCGTTGATCACTGCGAAATCATCCAATTCGAGTCTCGAGAACGAGGTCGGAACGGAGTATCAACAATTGATAGATGCTGCCGCGCCGTTGGTTGTAACTAGTCCTGACAAGAAGCAGTTTGATTTGCAGGACGATACTTTTCTAAATTCGGACTTGAACACAAAGGGTAAATGCAATAGCAATTTGTGCTCATTCATCAATAAAATAAAATTATTAGTCTAGTTTTGTCCTAAATAGTAAATGATACATTGAATGCTTATTATAATATTGTCACATTAAATCCGATTTATTTTTTTTTCTTCGCTCAAACTCATTATTACGAATCACATGATAATTAGCAGTTTTTTAAATGATATTCGAGATAAATCTTTTTTTTCTCTTACAGACTTCATAAAGAAGTATCTTTCACTTCATAGTGTTCATAACGGATCTGTAGATTTTGAAAGTGAGTTGATTTTATATCATTTGTGAACATCCTTTACAAGATATATTCGTTAAAAGCTTATATTATTTCAGATCGTTTTAATGAAGCATTGCAGCAACTTGCTTCTGACCATGTAAGTATATTTATTGTCCAGATCTAAAAATGATTTTGAAAAATCAGATTTTAAGTGGAATACTAAATTTATGCAATGCGTTTTCAGCAACGAGCTATTAATAACAAGCTGTTAAGACATACGTATCGTCAAATAACGAACAACTTAACATTACAAGAGACCCAAATAAATATGTTGGCAAATAATTTAAGAAACCCAGGCCTTCATGCTCAGAGGGAGAATTTGTCACAATTACAGGTACATAGATTGATAATGAGAAAATATCTGAGAAAAGTAAAGTATCAAGATTAATGCTTGTTATTTTCTAGGTTGAACACAGTAAGCAAACGAAAATGATTAAAACTTTGCAACAGGATCATCATAAAATACAAGTGAATGCCAAGCATAACCTTGGAATATAAGAAACCTGATAGTTTTCCAGATCGTTTCATGAATTTTGCTGAAACCAATTTAAGAAGTTCAAAGCGAGCTTAATAGAATACTCTTCGGAACTGTATTAATTGATAAGAATCAAGCTTTAAAAGTTATCCTTTTTGCGGAAGACTTAAACAAAAAATATCGGCGTATGTGCAATTTGCATAATATTCCTTGTATTCTGGTATCGTGTTTCTTCGTTTCCGCGAATTACCGATATCACATAAATTTGCTACAAAAATGTCTAAAAGGTAACCGTGTCATCATCGGTGCAAACAACGAATAGACGAATAGACATTTGCATTAATGCATATATCATATAAAAAAACTGCTCAGCTCATGAAGAATCAAGGTAGGTGCTCAGATATATCGATGATTTATCATTAAAGCAATCTGCTTCAACCTACGTTTTCCATCGACCACAAATGGAAAAGAAACGAGTGAGAAAAGATATTGCTAAGTTAAAGAACTCTTACGAATTGCCGTATGAAAAGTCGTGCACTTCGCTCACTAATCGATCATGCAGATCGTACAAAACCGCTGGTGAATGGTCCGTTATATAAATAACAGTCGCTCTTCAAGCAGATTTCCTGCAGCGACTGAGTGTTACACGCAGTTGGTAGTTTTCAAATTTTATGATAGTGAACTTGTACATATAGTATACATTCGATTTTAACGCCATGCGGTGCTCTACTCGCGCTAATTTACTCGCTCGCGGCAAGTCCGATCGAGTTTGAACTACCTCTGGTTATGTATATGTGATTACGCATGTATCGGATGGATACGAAACCAGTGTCAGCTTTATTAATTATAATTGTGGACCCCTTCACACATATGATATCAATGATTAATACTCGAAGTGCTATTTACTTTTTTATAATCATAAATCAATGTCACGACTAATTTGATAAAAGAAATGATGTGGTAATTTTGTCGAATGATGTTTCAACTGATTGCATTTTGTGACAATTTTATTACATAATATCTGTGTGGAAAAGAACGAAATTTAGAGTATGTCTATGGGGTTGCCACTATAGGCCAGATTTAGACCAATTATCCTCTATTTAGTGGAATGGTTTTACAACTGCATGTACCTGAATTACATTTACATTTAAATGTTCTATCATATATTTGGGAACTAAAAATCTAATCATGTGTTGTTAAAAAATAATGACAAATATAAATTTAGTCATTAAAAACAGATCTCATCTTTTACTTGATTTTCCCTCCCCACGATTACATGCCTCTGTATCCTGTACTCTTCTATTTTGTACTCTTTTTAAAATGTGGTAACCCTAAGTATATCTCTAAATTTGGATTTAATTATTATATACATGCAATAGAAATTTTTTAAATATTTAAAATTTTTGAATCATATAAACAAAAAAAGAATATATTAAATGCAATAATGTAAAGTATAAATGTAAATAAGACATTGAAAGACTTATATTTAAATTTTTTATAAAAATGAATTGTCTAGCTATATTCATATTTTTTGATTGATTGATTTATACAAGTGACATGCAAGGCAGTTTTATGCAAAGTTCTATCATGTCTTTTTATAACTTGCTTGAATAACTTTTTTGTTGACTGGCCTTGTTATCCATCCAATATTATGTTACTACACAAATATACATTGTAAATGCTATTTTTATTTCATCGGTAGTTGATCTCCGCATTGAAAAATAAATAGTGATGTGGAAGCTACATGGTTGATGTGTGTCAATTAAATTAGTGATACAAATACACATTGATTAACCGTGTTTTAAAGCTACTACTTACGGCGCCGCGGGTCAGCGTGAATATATTGTATATTGTAAAAGTGTTTAAAGGGTAAATGATATTAATATAAGAGAGTGACGGGAGAGAGAAAAATTGTCCACTTATGTGAACATATTCAGCACTGGCACTTAACAGATCTACAAATTTACTTAAACCAATTTACCTAACCAATATACGTGTACAGAGATATAACATAAGGCTGGCCCTGTAAATAAAAATGTTGAACACGATGTTTTTTTTTTTTTTCGTTTAAAAGTGTTCCAAATACCGTACTTTTCTTTCTCAGATACTATTCATCGAGCATCTAGAATGTATATCTGTTATTTGCAATGATGTGCTATATTCTTAAATATTAAGTTGATCAAAAAATTTATTCCTTTTCTACTATTATGCTAGGATAAAATTCAATTAAATTGAACAAGTTTTTTGATCAACATGATACTTTATATAAGTTTTTCATGCTCCTGCCTTTTGTTATTATACGTCTATCTGAGACGTTTGCGAGACCTGGAAATTCATTGCGATTTATAAAAAAAATATATTGTAATGACATATACACATACATATGTACATATGCATACATGCATCATGCCATATACATATATGTATACACATACATACATACATACATGTACATATACATACATACATACATACATACATATATGTGTGTGTGTGCGTGTGTGTGTGTGTGCGTGTGCGTGCGCACACACATTATACTATGAAAAATGTTTTTAATGTTACATTGATGTCGAGTGAGGAAGTCAAGATTGTCAGGTAATAAAGGCCTCTATATAAATAGAATCGTTACATAAGTGCAATGTGTCAGAATTGTTCAAAATAGTTTCTTGTTGTCAGTTTTACCGGGGACTTGACTATCCTCACGTGTCGATCACGCGCACGCATCAATGATAAAAATATACATTCTTTTTTTTTATGCGGAAGTCTGCCGCTGAAATAAGAGATATCTAATTGACCTCTATGTATATGAAAATCATGTCGCATAATCGACGATCGCGCGTAAAGCGGCCATCGAGTTGCTCGTTCCACTCGATGCCCAACTTTCCTCGCGATCTTATAGTACAAAGAACAAGTCTAAACTGTCTGTGTTCGGTGTACCTCATCCTCTTCTCTCGTTCTCTCTCTCTCTCTCTCTCTCTCTCTCTTTCTCTCTTTTTCTCTCAAACTATCTCTTCGTACTGTCATCAGTTATGCCGGCGATGACTTGTATTAATATGTAACTTTGGACATGATATGCCAGCTTGGTTGTCGAGTCTCTTACATCTTAAGTCAAACTGATTAATTCCACTTTATGTAAATTTCATGATTTTAATATCAGAATATTAATCATGTGTCTTGATATTAAAATTAAAATTAAGAGATTTATAAAAAATGGAATTGTTCTGGAATTTGGCTTTTGAGAATAATTCGGATATAAGACGGGGCAGTTAAAATAATATATTCAAATATTAGTTACGTACGAATATAAATGGGAAAGTAACGAAAAGGGAAAATTTGTGACAGCGCGTAGAGATTTCTTTCAATATCGACTTTCGATCTTTTCCATATATTTCATGATATTTTTATCAAACCTGGTATTGTTTGTAAAAAATGTCAATTCAAAAAGTGTTATCATCAAAGAAAAATCATTCAAAGAATCGAATCATTAATTTTTACGATATGCGTAAAACTATTTTGTATTATTGACGATAAGTTACGACAAAGGACAACCAAGTGTTACTACGATTTGCTACGATTACATTGTGCATTATAGCCATAGATTTCATTTATTGTCACGAAATGGAAGAGACATCTAAATCTTATCAAAAAATGGATGAATTATACACTTTTATTATATAACTTGATAAAAATTAAAGACTTGTCTGTGATTACAGTTGCGTATATTAAATGGTATTCTTATAACATGAAATTAAAAAAAAGTGAAGAGATTTTATTCCTCTAAACTTCTCTTTATCTAAAATTAACTAAGAGCCTCTCTTTATGTATCTTTTACATAATGAATAACTGTACAATATTTATGCGAAAATATTGGAAATGAGTGGATACCAATGCAACACAGACAGACGGCTCTACAGTTTATTATATATATGCTATAAAGTAAAGTTTAACTTTATATCACTGTAAATATCTACTGCGTTATTATATTTTATACTCTGCTGATTGCACGTATAAGGCTTTTCGATTTCTTTCTATAAACAAAAACAAAAGCGATTAAGTGTGGTTGTGTACCTTTTCTTTTTGTACACCTTTATGCATATATTAAATGCATAATGTGGCGCGTTTTGATGCCGTTTGAATTTTCGTAAGATTAAATTGTATTAATTGTACATAATCCAAGTTATTGATTTTTAAAAACCCACAAATTTCAAAGATTCTTGCTTGGAATGCGAAAGTTATCTCCTCACAATTTCCAAAAATAGTGTTATACATTACATTGAGAGTCAAACATATTTTTCTACCTCCTTAATTTGTATTAATTTGTATTAATTACGCCGAAACTCGTAAAATGAATAGAGGCAGGATAGATGTGCAGAATGTAACAGGTAAGCTTGATAACTCGGCTGATTGCAAAATTCAATTTGATATTGTATTCTGAATTTTCACTTAATAATTATTTCTATTAATTATATAACGATGAGAGGACTAATTATTAAATAAATTGTAAATTCTCACGATGAGTATATGGCTCGTTGAACATTATTAGCGCGCATGATAGAAGATTAACGTTTTTCATAAAACGAAACAAAAATTTATATACTTACCTCTCCTGTGCAGTTTACTTACATGTTATGAATATTTTCATTAATTTTACTGTCGAATAAAACGACCCATATACGAATACGTGAATTATTTCGAACGAGTCTCAGCCGGCCGATAATTGTGTACGAGCGGAAATATTTGTAGAAAATTTTCTGGTGTGTAATCTCAGTGTTTTTCTCTATCTGTTAAGCACTATGTAAATTTCGATAGAGCTATTAAGAAATGTCGAATGTAATTCGCAACACTTCGGTAGGAAATCCACCGCCACAGATTATTTTATGTTTTTCTGATTTTTATCTTGCATCTAATTTTCATTTTATATGCTTCGGCTAGACGAATATTTTTGCAACATGCATACACATATATACATACATATACATATATGTATAAACATTTTTAGAAATTACAAGTAAATTTTTTGACTAATTTTTTAGTTTATAATTTATATATACATGCTAAGAAAAAACTGGAATCCAATCTACAACTGAAAGAATTAATTTTTCCGTTTCTAAAGATTAATAATATATCATGCTCGTGACAGTATATAATATGATTATTATTATTATTATATATACATATGTTGAACTTGATATTTTTTATTTTATAATATATTGTCAACACGAGAATATCTTAATATCTTAATATATTTAGAATTCTAATTTCTAGAGAATACATCGTCATATATAATTATCAGAATGATAAAAAGACGAATAAGTATTTTATTTTTTATTTTATATTCGGAGGTGGGTGATTTCCTTACCAAGAAATTAAGATAATAATCAATGGAAATACAAATACGAATATGAATCGAAGAATGGACAAAGAAATCGTGCAGAGATTTATAAAAATGTTTACAGTCAAGTTGTTAGAGTGCTAATGTTTATTTGACGCAGGAATATAAAACTTGATGAAACAAATTTGGAAATAAAATATCATTTTTTTTAGTCAGATAGATTTTTTACTTTTGGTGAGCGACACAAATTAATGACTTAAGATATAGTTTGCATGAGTTCGGTTAATTGTTATTAAATATTAGTATAACGAAAGAGATATGCAGGCATACGAGAAACATTCAGGCAATGAAAAAAAAATGTAATTGTAACTAATAAAGAAATATAATCTGTTGAGGGAGAGTCATGTACATGCATAGTTATTGTATCAAGACTGAATTATTAAGACTTCGTAAAAGATGGAACATTTTTGTAAATAATACTGCCTCTGGGAGGGGAAGAAATATATATGTAAAAGTTATATGAATACTGATATGGAAAAGTGTCGATTTTTATCGTTTAATTCATATTTGTCCTTTTTTATCTTTGCTTACAATCTACCTGGTGCTGAAGAAAGTGTACTGCATTCCAAAATATTAATGTCAAGTTTTTTATTAAATTAACAGACACGCAAAATAATTGCAGAACCGATCGGTTCACAAACCTAAAATTTTAAAAATCTCACATTAGATACAATTGTTGATATGACTTCTTTGATTCCTTCGAACTTTTATTACGACAAGATAATTAATGAATCGAAATTTCTATGTTTATGTTTCAAATTTAATTGTTTAATAAACGCGAAGATGATAAATATATATAATTCGATGAAAACGCTCGTTTGCATCACGCATCTTTATTATCTATTTGTTAAAGTGTTTTAAACAGATTTGAGAGGAATTATTATGTCATCAGAATAATAGATTTTCACGTGATAGTGATATTGCATGAGAAAGTAATCGAAAAGGCACGGCATTTCGAGACGACCCAATTAAAGGCACGTTTATATCGCGAAGTAAATGAGAGAGTCTCCTATAAAATGAGTAATCATCGTAATTTGTTTCTTAACTTTTATTCAATATACCGTATAATTGAAGCGTATTGCATCGAACGTGTATGTGGTTGTTCATCGTGTGTAAGAGTCATATATTTATCTAACATGCACTAACTCTCAAATGAAACAACGCTTATATTGTCGAAATATTTATAAATCAGAAAGATTCCTATGTGTGTAGAAATTTTGACGAAACCGCAAGATTTTAAACCGTAAAATATTATGATTTTAATGCTCTAATATTCAAATACCATATTAACAATATAAAGCTCGATATTGAATCTGATGTTTTTTAAAATAACTAGATATTTGCAAATAAAAAAATATTTCAAGGAATTTCTTATAAATACCTTGTTCTTTGCTTCATATATATTTTAAATTAAATCGCAAAAGCGATCATATTATTAATAATTTAAAAACAATTTATACATACAATTCTGTTTATCGATCAAATCGATGACTGATTGCATCTCGATAGAAATTCAAGATCAATAGGTGTGGTTTATAGGAAATTATATACACTTTTATGCAATGATAAAGGAAATGTAAAACAATTAATAACAGATCAATAGTGATAAATATTAATTAATAACAATACTGTCCATGTCGATTGTACGAACAAGTAATATCATTTTTCACTTTTCTATTTTCTTTTTTTTTTATTATTTCACATTATCCGCAACAAAACGGTAAACTTTGCAATTTAGTTCATCCTATATAAGTATTCGGCGAAAACATTGCAATGTAGCATAATAATATTTTAGTTACAGAGGCCAATGTGCGTTTCAGTAGTGTCGGCTTTCAAGGTCGGACGAGACTGGAAGAGATTCAAGAGTACAAACTTCAAGCCTTATAATAACAATAATAACAAAATTTATAATCATGATTGTACAGCAATGAAAGATAGAAAAATATACGAGATTCTAATAATGGCGCGCACATATACACATTGACCGCTGTCCTCTTACAATAACAACAATACAATTGGAGATCGTTCTAGACGACTGTTCGTTGCTACGATGAAGACTGACATCAGCAAAAAGCACATCCGATACGCGCCAAAAGAGTTATATGTATATAATTATCAGTTTTGTCTTAAATCGTCCAATCTCTACCATGATTTTTTTTCTCTAAACTCCGTATGATCCAACACTATTGTCGTTTTCTTTTTCTATATGTATATCGGTAAACGAGTTAACTTGGTCGTAGAATTGCAGTTTAGGAATTAATTCGCATTTTAGCTATTAGTTATCAAATTTTTACTTATTAAGGAATATTTAACGAACATTTTTCCAGACATGATTGACTATTTCTTATAATTGGGTTGTGATATTCAACCGTTTAATTGTCAAACTGCTTTTCGATCTAAAATTAAATAATTTCTAATTTCTTTATGTTCACTTTTGACTAATCAAAACCGCTTTAATCCGATTTAGATTTTTAAAAAATCTATTTTAAGTATCAATATATATGTATATCTATTGCAATATTAATATAAATATTTATATTATCTTAAAAATTGATATACATTTATTTGAGGCATAAATATAGCAGAAAATAAGGGCGTTAATCAAATTTTTATCAAATGTGATGTTTTTAATTGTGAACACTAATGGGGTTAAACGATTAAAATAATTTGCAAAAGTTGCTCTGCTTTCAACTATGAGAGTGTAGTACCAGAAATAAATTTTTACATTTTTGAAAACAGATCAATTTTTATCAACTGTTAAAGCGTCAATACATATTACTTTTCATTCATTCTTTATTCGTCACTTTTCGTATCATTTTGAAATATTTCGCTCCAATAATAAAATTTTATATCCATCTGGAGAGAAAGAAGACACGTTCGTAAATGTTTTATAAAATAATAATAGTAAATCTCATTCAAAAATTATAACGTAATGCAAAAGAAACAAGAACTCCAATATCTTTCAATATAAAAATAGTATTAATTTCAACCAATGCCCTAGTAGAAAATCAAGATAATTGTGTTGGCCAGTATTATTTAAAAGTCATTTCTTTCCGCTCTATTCTACATGCATAGAATCATATTGGATTATGTATGCACGAAATAGAAAAGAATTGTTTAGGAACAAAGTATATGCTATAATGGAAAATTGAATCCGTCGTGACGCTTCCCAAAAACGCTCAGTACACATAGATATACATATGATCAATATATGTATAAATATTGAGTGTTTGATTCGCGTTTATTATTTTATATCTACAACGATAGCGGGCGATATGTACAGGGGATAAGGGGGAAGTGAGATTTATCATTTTCTCTACAGCCGTTATATGTCAGGCCGAGAGCAATTTATTCAATGTAGATGTCCTCTATTGGGAAAGCAGTCTCGATGAATTTTGTGTAGAACCGATGAAAAGCGCGTCTGAAAGAAAAAAAAATCTCTGAGTTATATATGAACAATGTTTCATTGTAAGACAAAATTCTCTTTTGCATTTTTCAAGGATTTAAAATGTTAAATATTTAATATAAGGATAATAAGGATATTTAAAATATTAAATATTTAAAATAAGATATCTAAAATGTTTGAACACACATTATGTTATCAAATTTTTAGTTATGTAACGATTTATAAAATAATTTATCATGAATTATAATAACATATAAAGAAAAAATACATTAGCATATTTTTGTTATTAATAATAATAAAAAATTCAATTACAAATGAATCAAAAAATTTCAAATTAAGAAATCTATATAGAACAATATGCTGTTTCCGGTGAAAATAATAAAATTATAATAAAAAATGACTCACCCGACGGCTTCGGCGACTGGTCTTGTAGATTCTTGACCAATGAACACGTGACAAGCGAACCTCTGCAGTGTAGGGTGCTTCGTGATGAAACCGAGATAGCGATGATCGCGAGGGTGAAACGCACAGAAGGATACATTCTTCAGTGAATAGAAATAATCGTGACAAGGACCCTGACTTTTCTGTAAAACCATATCAACTATTAACAATTCTTCGACTTTTTCATTTTCCCTTCTAATTACTTACTTAATTATTATTATATTACACACGTAATATTAGATGTATGCAAATAAAGCTTTAAAAAATAAATAAATAGTTTATTTAAAATAATTTGCTTATATATGTAAATTTTTTAAGTGGGATTGTGTATTCTATAGTGTATCTAAATTTAACAACATATATAGTTTTTGTTGAGGAATAAATAGCTTGCATAAATCACACATTGCACACATGAAGAAATTTCAATCGCAAGGAATTGCTTACCCTTGGCTTACTTCTATCGACCATTCGAAGACCTTGATCGGATACTTCCAAGATGCAGCTTTGCGAGACGGGTGGATCCTGCAATGAATTGCGTAAAATTCTCCGTACAGCCTGGCAAACCACCCCTGTACCCTTGTGCGCCAGGGTCTCTACCGAACCCAAATAACCCAAAAGATATCTTTCTCTCTTCACTTTGGGCGCAGTGGGATCAAAATCACTATAATCCATGTCGACCGCGTATGCTGATGGAAAAATACCTTGCCGGCCTGTTCTCAGATTTACTCCTAATACATGGAGAACAGAAGGGTAGATTAAATCAATAATACATCTAAAGATAATATATCTTATTATTTTTTATTTTCCTCTTTTGTTTAAGATCTCTTGAAAACTGAGCTAAATAAATATTTAATATGTATCTGGAAATTAATTTTAGATATTCAATTTTATGATTTGTAAATCAATAATTTGTTGTTGACTTATTATATAGATCACAAAACATTTTTAACAAATAATAATCATTTATTTGATATAAAGTTTATGCCCCAATTTCTTCAACAAGTTTCGTACATTTTTAAAAATTTAAACAAAAAATATAGAGTTATTCAAAAAATAGTTATTCGAAAAATTAGAACTTTATCTAAATCTCTTTATATATCCTTCGGGATATTTGTTGCTTAACAATTTATCATCGTTAGAAGTCTGAAGGAATTGATTACATTAAGTGAATAAAAAGAAAGTTAATAATATATTAAGGTTTCCATATTACGTACCTTCGCACCATAGGTCGTCGGCCTCCTTTTGCACGTATATAGGGTCTCCAATTTCAAGATCAATTTCATCATGATGCCGTGGTATGAACTTGTGCAGGCCTCGATGCGTTGCCTCGAGCAGTTCCAGCTGGGTGAACGGTACGCCTCCGCTTCCTTCGAAATAAAAAAGCAAGCTAGTATTGATTTATCCTAGTTATTCTGATTTGTTCGAAAACAATTTATAACACGAACAATAATTCTCTCCTCCACGACTTTCGAAACTTTATCGAAGGCAACAGAGTCTACAGACTTGTTTGACAGTTTCTCGTAGAAAATCTAATAAGATTCCGGAAACATTGTAAAAATATTATTTATTTTTCATGTATTTTACAAAATTTGTAACAATAATTCTATTTTTTGCCAAAAAATGCACAAAAATCAGCTTCAAATGCAAATTTTTCTAATATTAAAAATTAATGCATATTTAAAGATTTGGACATAAAGAATAAAAATAAGATAAAATCTTATTCTTCATACTTATTAAATTTTACATTAATTTTACATTAATACACATATGACACATTTTAAGGAATCTTAATAATAAGATTAAAAATATTTTGAAGCTAAATAAATATCTAATATGTAGAAATTAATTTTACAATTAAATATTTAATTTTATTTGCATATCAATAATTCCTTGCACAATTTATTATATCTACATCTCAAAATATTTTTAACAAGTATCAATCACTCGTTTGATTTAAAATTGTACGCTTTTTCTCAATAAATTTTATACAATTTTATACAAATTTTATGTAAGGACGATTGTAAAATTTTCTTTACGTTTTGACAAGTGTTTAATATATTTAAGTTGTTGATTATTTAAGTTTATTACTAAATAGAATTTTTGAACAATCGTATTTAACAATTTAAATAGTCTTACATAAAAAATTCAAAGGACTTAAACGAATCATGATTCTTTGTAAATGCTGATGACTTTTCGAACAAAAACGAGTATCTTCTATTTGGAAGAGATCCTGGAAATGTATTATTTTTGATATTCGTTTCATCAATAGACATGATATATATTCTTTCTTGCATCATGTCTATTGATGAAATGAATATCTATTTTATTACGTGAAAAAGCTTTAAAAACTAGAAAAAAGAAATATGATGTAAACGCAAAATTTGCAAAAGAAATCGATTTACAATAATCACTGAATTACAATTGGGAACAGAATCAATGTGTAAAGATTTAAACAAATGATTTATAAGAAACACTAACTACGATATATTATTCAAAAAGTAAATTGAAATAATTAAAGTGGCAACATATATCAGTTTCTTAGTCATTTATATGGTTAATTGTTAAAATATTATTGATTATAAATTTATAAATATTTTAAAAACTGAATACCTCTAAAATATTTATTAATGTTTGGAAATATATTTATTAAGATTTGTTTTTAATTAATTCTACGTATTCTATTTGTTTGATCGTAATCAAATAATTTGAGAGATTTAAATTAGTATAAACAAAGAAAGATAATATCAAAAATAGAAAATAATATCACTGAAAAGAATTACAGTTACCTGGGGTACTACTAGGCGATACTGAATTCGTGTTTTGCAGGGTATTGCAAGGTATGGGAGATACGCTTTTGGGTCCGTTTTCAGGTGAATGAGCGGTGGAATGACCACTATCGGTGGCCATTCTCTCGCTGTCAGGTGAGCTGTCCTCGTGGCGAAGTCTGGGATGACATTTTCTTAGGATAAGATGAGGCCGAGCCGATGTCGAGCCGGTGGCAGCGCTCAATTCATCTGCCAGAGAAGATGATGTCTGCATGGATGTCTGGCACATGGGCATAGCTGAAACAAGGCATGACACCTGAAATATTCTTTTTTATTTGAGACTTTATTCTCTTAAAATATCAATAATTAATTCAGTGAGTAATTTCATCAAAATTCAATGAACATTTTACTGATTTTCAATGTGAAAACATTTATATTTTATTCTTATGTTTATCTTATATTTTATTATGGCAATCAAATTTCACTAAAGAATCAGCCACTATTACTAACTTTTTTTAAATGAGATTTTATTCTTCAGTGCTATACTTATAACTGAAATTATTACTCTCTTATTAGTAATAATACATTAATAATACATTTTATTAAAGAACATAAGGATCTGAATATATATAAATTTAAATAATAAAAAGTATATTTCACGCACACGCACAACTGACAGTAAAGATAACAAAAATTTATGTATAATAAATTATAGAATTAAAATTGAATGATTTAGAGATTATATTGATGAATTGAATTAATTAATTGCTGTCAAATTAATGATCTCTAAATTTAATCTTCTCACATAAAGTTTATTTTATTTTTTTATTCTTTCTAAAAATAATCACAATTATATGTTAAAATATTATTCTCAAATACTATGAAAATATACAAAAAAATAACTTTTGCTTTTCTTCTTTGATTAATTCTTAATTCTTTCATATTTATTTTTGACTTTCTTTATTATACTGAATTTTTATACATGTAAAAAATGTAAAATTTACTAAAATTTAAACATTTTTCATACATTTGCAAAATAATATTTAAATAAATATATTTGAATTTGTAAGATGATAAATTCACCTCGATTAAATATGAAAAACTGTTTTGCAATGTGTTTTTTGCAACTGATGATATAATACAAGTGGATTCTTTTATTGCGGTTGGTTTTTAGTTTCATTGATACACATAACTAACATGTTACGCGGAGACGAAAAATGATACAGTGATATCTATCGGATGCTATAGATACATATGAAAATTATATATTTTATTTTATCGTACTATAAAAAAGGAACGAAATATGAAAATAACAAAGTAATATAATTTTATATAATATATAAATATTAAAATTACATTATTTACATATTTTATAAAATATGTATTTAATATAAATTAAAATCATATTATCTAAATTTTAAGATACTTATCATATTGTCTCTTATCTTGCTGTGCTAATCATAAAAGTGATATTATACAATCAGAAATCAAGAAGAATCATTTATCAGATATCAAAAAATATCTAATAACAGATTAATGAAATTCTATGTGTTGGTATATTCATCATTATAAACGCAAATCTCATTCACAGCATTCCTTACTAAATTTTTGAAAGTTCTGATTATTTACAATAATTTGACAATATATAACAGTTATATATTGAAATTTTATAATTTATTAATATATTATTATAAATTTTCTCAATTTTTAAAATTTTTTCTCCTACCAAGAATTTCGATAGCTCAAAATTAAGATTGAAGAAACGTATATTGGCAATTTTTTCCATTAATGTTATCATTATGGATTGAATTATTTATACATGCGGTGCCTTTCTTACATTTCTTGTTTTTCGGAATTTCCGGCAATCTTCGACGTCTGCGCTCTGTACCGCCACTTCCGGGTCGATTCGATGGCACGTGCTCCGGTGTAGGCCAGGAGCTCAAACTGGAACACGAGTCGCCGACATCGCTGACGACACTATCCCGACCGCCGTTACCGGATACAGTAGTGCCACCCCCGCCTGGTCCTGGTCCGCCACCGCCTACTGATCGACCCCTGCTGCTCAGTCCACCGAACAGGCTAATGTCATCCAAGGATAGTCGTATAGTGAGCTAAACTATCATTTCCCATGCTGCCTATTTTATTTTAATCCTTCGGGAAATACGAATAAAAAAACTCGTTCTTGATTGGCGTGAAATAGCGTGAAATTTTATATCATCATGCAACACTTGAAATTATACCTTAATCAAGAATTAAAAAAGAAAAAGAATGGTCAAGATTGTAAAAGATTGTGCAGGAGGTATTACTATGTGATCAATATTTTTTTAACCTTTTCAAATTTTAATGATTTGAATGAAAATAACTAATATTAAGATAAAAATATGAATTCTTGACATTATAAATTACTCTTTCATATTTTTAATCATATAACTTTAAATACTTATTACAATATATTACATAATATAAACATATCTTGTCATTACTTTATACGAGTACATGCAATTATGAAGAGGGATTATTAATGAAAGATATATTTATGTTTTAGTAATGTTTAGTAAGTTTAGTAAGTTTAGAAAATTGTACAATTATCACATAAAAATTATACATATATGTAATATGTAACTTTTCTTTGCTATACAACAATTATTTTATTGTAATAATCCAAAGAAAATGAAATGGAATAATTTAACATTCTCAGAAACTTTATTTTGAATTCACAAATTTCGTAACATGATATATTTTACATAAAATTAAAATATTTTCGATCATTTTATCGCATGTGGGACTAAATTGAAAAAAGTTAAGTTGCAGAAATATAACTAGGGGTAATGCAAAAACTTATGCATGCTTAAACATTCGGAAATATCGTGCTTTGAAATACTGTATGGAAATACATCTCGATTACCATCCGCATCACACTTTCTAACCACGTTACAGTAGACGGCATTAATTAATTATGAGCTGCATGTCGCGAACTCTCCCGAAGTATTTCCGGACATCCTTGAGTTATTTTTAACAAAATCAAAGTTTTTATGGAATTGCGGTAATGATAAATGTATGTGATGTGTATATGCGAGTGGTATTATATAAATATATATATATATATATATATATATATATATATATACATATACACACATCGTGCAGAAATATAATTACGTTTGAACGTGAAATAAATTATAACTTGTAAATAAATTATAAATTGTAATAAGTTATAACATAATTTTGACTACTTAATAAAATTATAAAATATTTGACAAATGGAATTGATTTCGCATTATATGCAAAGAGTTATAAAAAGAATTTAAACATTATGAATAATAATTATCCATCTCATTGCACGAAAAATGCAAAATTATTCTTCCATTTCCAATATTGCTTTAAATTTGCAATTAAATTGCTATAAATAAAAAATATTTGATCTTTATCGCCTTCTTTGTTTCGAATTTTGTATATCTTTTTTCAAAGAATACTCTGTCGAAATATTGACATTCGATGTATCAACATACCGGATGTACTCACAATACAAAATTATACATCAAAGAAAAATATACGACATAAATAAAGTATATAATGATACAATTTATAATAATAAGTAAGTAAACACTTACGATGTTACCAACCTAAAATCACTATCAGCTATGATCGAACAGTGGTGATCCAGCTCCTCGCTGTCATCAGGGGTGGTATGTCCGCTTTGGTCATCGTGTCGATGAATAACGACAACTTCCTCATCCTCAGAATCGCCAGTAACGACATCACAAGATCTGCCGACTTCCTCATCGCTTCCTTGTGAAGATGTTGGCGAATCATCGATCATCACATCATGAACGAGCCTGATAGCCAAATTATTAAATTTGCATGTAAGGTACATTAAATTAATTTGTGATAAAAAACGATTCATAAATATGACATATAAAAAGAATCAATGAAGTGTCTCTGATGACAACAAATTGTTCTTTAATTGTTTTTTAATTTTAAACAGGCGGGAATATTTATGATAATTACTTATAATTACTTATAAATTAATAGCATAAATATATCATATGAAGAAAAATCAATATAAAGTGTGTCTAGCAAATTGTTTTTTAATTATTCAAAAAGTCACGGAAATTGCTTTATAATTTGTAAATTAATACATTATCGTTTAATGTAATTTAGAGGTTTCCTCACTTTTAAAATTTAAAATAATCACACAAATTTTTTTATAATAATATATAGTAATAATCATAAAACATGTAGCAGAAATAGACAATAGTATCTCCGATAATCATGTCGTAAAAGAAATTAGAAACTAAATAGAACAAAACACAAAACCAATTTATTTTTATATATTCAATAATTTCAATAATAATAATAATTTCTGCAATAATTACGTTATAAATTATATTTGTTATTATTCTTATAAAAATTAATTCCGGATAATTATATATTTGTTATGTGGTTTTTTTAACAAAAAATACACTTATATAATAGAATAAAGAGATTATACATATTATAATAGTTATCCAATATTTCTGCATTTTTTGAAATTGAAAAAATAGTTATATTTATATATTTCTGTTACTTGTAAAAAATTTTCTATTTTTGAGAAAAAATTAAACTCTATCTTTATTTACTTAATCTCATGCTTAATATCAGTACTCAATGCAATCAAGACATGGTTACATAAACATTACAATTGTTATTACAATTATAAAGGTAATCGTTATGCAGAATTATACAATTAAATTGTACGTCAGAGAACCTCCCACTCATACATGTATATATACATACACACGTACATACATTTACACATATTATACAATTTAACAATGGCTAGCACTTTATAAAGAAAATCATTGGTTATTTGCAACAATAAAGATAGATATATGTATATGTATGCGTCATAACGAAAGCCATAGATCACTACCAAAGTTATCTATATGCGCGTTATGTTGCAGTTTCATGTCGCATATTCTTGTGTCACTTATACTACAGGATCAATAATTTTAAAGACACGATACCGACTTGGCTGTTCTGCTATAACTTTTAATCTAATCATATATCGAATCTATTAGCAATTTCAAACTACGATTTTATAGCTCCCTTGAGTCATGAACTCCCTCGTATCATGTATGTTAGATATATTTGTACATTTTTCTTTTTGTTTTACAATATTATGCAATATCGCAGTAATTTGTCATCTTTCGAAGAGAAATGACACGATCAGATGATAATGTGCTTCAATATATTGTATATATGCGTAATTTTTTTATTAATTCTATAGATGTTATAAGAAAAATCTTATAAAAGATATATATACTAATATTAGAATTTATATATATTACATATAAATTATAGCCATATTTAAAATTTGTTCAGAAGTTTTTGAAATATAAAGATAATAATTTTGTTTTATTAAAAAACATCTTTTTTTAAACTGCTAGCAATCAATGTCATCACATATAATGCCTACTAACGTGCCTACACGTCGCCATTTCTATCGTCAATGATCAATTTTATCATTTGTAAAAATGCAGAGTATAAATAAATTATAAATAGAGAATCTTTAGGAATCGAAATAAAATTTATTAAAAGAAAACACAATGTGAGAATAAGATCATTTTTTTATTCGTATTATATGAATAATATGCATTATTTGTTTGTCTATAGATATCTGATTTTTTTAATATATAAAACAATGTTCTTTATATATGGAATAATTGATATTTGGAGAGAATTTAGCATGTATATATATTCTGAAAGTCATTATATATATTTTCAAACATTATTAAGATAAAAATGTGATACTTAAACGAATGGTTTGATTTGTTTAATCTACATTTATTTTCGCCAATTTCACAAAAATAGCTGGATAATGACGTATTATTGATATTTTTCACACCAATCCATTTTATCAACGTGGTCCACTCCATCTACAACCTACATTATCGCCCTGCATATTTTTACTTGGTAACAATGTATGATCTGCGACATATTATCGTTTTATTTCAGCTTTTAATGTAAATTCCTACATGAATCCTCCTGTTCGGTTCTCTATTTAAATTAACTGCTTCCTTTAATTTCAGATCATCTCCCTTTGTAAATGATGTCAGTGTCGCGGTCCTTATCGCATCATCTATCGTGTCATCTGTTCCAAAGGCAGGTTTGTCGCGGGGCGCGTACTCACGTGTAGTTGGAGAGCGGAGCCTTCAGATGTTGGGGCAGCCTCTCGAAGTAGTGCCGGAATTCCTCGAACTCGCTGTCAGCCATCGTCGAGTTGTTCTCAGGGTGAGCAAAATACAGGGCGCAAGGCAGGGGTCCGTCCCGAGGGCGGCCGTGGCGGCCTAGAGGAGAGCTGCTCGTCGACCCCCAGGAACTATACGGGGTAAAAAGATGTCGCTGACGTTGTCGACGACGTCGCTTCGACGCCGTGCAAACGCGACGCAACCCCTATTGATTCCTGCGTGGCAAACGTCGCGCGCCTGCTCGTTCGCGTGGGGGTGGACAGGGGTTGGTTCTCGAGAGAGAGAGAAAAGGAATAGAGAGAGAAAGGGCAAAGTAAAACGAGAGCTAAGCTCTAGGGTGAATGTTTGGCTGCATATTCTCATCTTGCATTTAGCGTTAAATACAGCGACTACAGAGAACGACGATAACATCGAACACGGGTTAACAAGAGGCATGCATTGCATATGACATTAAATGAACATTATGAATGCCCTTCTATCTATCTTTTATCTTGACTTCCTTCAAGAGATTTAACTTAATTGTTATGTTTATTAAGTTGAGATAGCATAATTATCTATGATAAATTAATTACCATAAATTAATTAATGGTTCATTTTTAGTTTTATTATGAAATAAAACTTTCCTAGTTTTATTATGAAATAAAACTTTCCTAGTTTTATTATGAAATAAAACTTTCCTAAAAATACATATATTGGATCAATTTTCAAATTTTCCATTATCTAATTTTTAAAAGTCCTTCAGGGAGAGATTATGAAAAAACAATAGTTCCTTTTCCATTATCTAATTTTCAAAAGACCTTCAAGGAGAGATTATGAAAAAACAATAGACTATATGTACGCCTCGAGAAAATGTGGGCCAAGACTCTGTTTGAACATTTGTGGATCTAGCGTACTGCTGGTCGATATACTACGTAATGAAACATTTATCAGTAGGGCGCATAAACTTCCAGGAGTTTACAGTCGTATCTCCCGCAGTAGAATTCGTGGCGGAGAACGACGCGATGTTACGATATAAAATTCCGGAGAGATGGTTAAATATTTTACAGTCGCTCCGCGCAATCGATCTTTTGCACTCATACACACCGATGTTGAACAGTAGATTTATCTTCTTCATATTTCGAGGATGACTCATCGAAAATTTTCCAATTTGCGATATTTCAATCAAATATGTCCGTAAAAAAATTACGAATTGGGCATAAATGCACATTCACTTTTGCACATACTAAAATTAATGTCTCATTTTTTTCTGACATTAATTACAATAACATGAAAATTATAATTTACATAAAGTTCTTGTTCCAAAAGATTAGAATTTAATTAAATAAGGCTCAAAAATTAAACAACATTAAATAAAATTGATAAAAACTTGATAATTAAAACTATATTAATAAATGCTAACGCAAACAGAGATTAATTCATTAAATGATTTTAAATACATCAAACTTAATAAATTAAATGATAAATTTCTTATACAAAACTTATTAAGATATATAACTTATTTTTCTTTAATTTTGTGATTAATTCGTTCAATATAATATGTCGTCCTTTTAATTCGTTGAGATTTTTGTTAAGCATTTATTTTACAATGTCATAATAATATTGCCAATTTTATCAATCATTGTAAACATTATATTAATTATAAATTTCTATTGGCGTTTCTAAAATCAAGTTACCTCGACAATTGGATTTCGCGAATGTTTATTCACAATTCTTTGCTAGCTACAGGGAGAACATTTTTCACATTCTGTGTGTCCTCCCGTTTCTCACATCCCCCTCATCTCTTCAATCGTCGGTTATACTTTTCTTTCGTGCTGAGAGAATGCTCAGAAAGGATTTTCTTGTTTGTCGATGGGTAATCATCTTTTTCTTCGTCGCGAGGACCAGTCTCTTCGATCGATTAAAAAAGAAACCACTTTGACAGCTTTAAGAAAGAATGCATCTCACGATATCGAAGCAACAGGCGAGGCTATTGATGTTAAGAGATATATAACATGGACAAAATATGCTTAAATACAAAGACCGCATAGAAAAAATAAAAATATAAAAATATAAAAATATAAAAATATAAAAATATAAATTACATAAAAAATATATGTAAAGAATAAAAAAATTAAAGATGTGAGGAATATTATTTAAGAATAAATATAATATATAATTGTATGTCTCTTTTTAATTAAAAATATTCTCATTTACATTCGAGTATTATAAATACTAAAGAATAGAAATCCATGCTCAAACGATATGTATAGATGCAGCAATTAAACACATGCTTATTATACAGAGAAAAATCTCGTTAGTATGTAGCCTCGAGCAAAATTCAAACGACACGAAACGAAAGAAATTGTCGTTATCGAATTGCGTTTGACCTAGTAGCCTTTGCGACGTAGAAGACAAAAGCTAAATTCGTGTGTTCAACGTATCTCATTCTCTCCTTTTGTGCTCAATGTCGACATATCGCCACGGATAATTACTGTGCTCTCTCAACTTTGAATATATTGTGGCGGAAACTGATATTTCATATCATTGACATATAAGGGAACAGATCCATCAATGAATAATACACGATTATACGATTACATACGCAAGATAATCTTCTTATAATTTCCTTAAAAATAAAAATCTAAGTCGATTGAATTTCTCAATTTTTTTGTAATTTTATTTCTTAATTTTTTGATTTCTTAAATTTTAATACTTAAAGGCGTATTTTTTAATCCCAAGATAATTTAAGTCTTAATTACTTAGTTAATTTAATCTTAATCATTATTTTCGTAACGTCGATTTAAAAAATATATTATAATTAAGTTTAATTAAGGTTTAAACAAAATGCCATTATAATCGCTGATAGAATTAGTGAAATTATTAACAAATTAAATTGATCGAATAATGTTAAATAGTTAATTCATTCTTGACTCCGACCAGAATCCCAATCGGAAGTACACGTAAGAGAACCTTACCGCCCTCGCAGAATGTATCCCCGATAAGGTAAGAGTATCGAGGATCGAACGATACTCTCAATCTCGCTTAATGCCAGAGAAACACTCGGTATAATTTAGCGAGGGTAGAACCGCGGTAGCTGATAGTGGTAAGTGATGAACGCTGGTAATGTGCTGCATCTACTTTTCTGAAGTGGGAGAATTCCTCGGGCGTCCGAGCTTTTATTAAATGGTGTCTTTGTTTCGGAGTAGGACGAAGAATGAGAAATCGCCACCTCGAAGAAGTTCTCTCCTCTGAATAGAAAGTCACCTTCTCGGATGACCGCTTCTTCATTTTGACGTTCGATATTTGCGCGTAATCGTAAAGTACATAATTTTACAGTCTGAACTTTTTGTAATGAAAAAAATGCATTTTATTTCATAATAATTTTATAAAAATAGGAGGACTTGTTTTAATATTACATTTATAATCTAAACACTTTTAGAAAATATCCAATGATTAGCAATTATGACACAGGAAAGAGAAAAGGAGAAAAGAGAAACGTGATAATTATTTCTCAAACACACGATTACACGATATTTAAAGAAAAATAATTTAGGAATATGCTTTGTGGTAATTTCATATTACTTAAATCATAATTAAAAAATACATTTATATATAAACAATTATTTATAATAAAAGTAATCGAGGCTCTACTTATACAAAATTACAATTAGTTATAAAGGGCTTGTAGAGCGAGAAAATAAGTATATTATAAAAGTTTAATTATGTCATAATGTACATCAAAATAAGTTTATGTCGACGGTGACATTACAATAATACAGAAAAGATCAAAATATAGGTACGTTAAAGGCGAATGTTTCGATCGATTTTTCGATCATCTTCAGCGCAAAAATATAATAATACATGAACAGCGAGTGAAATAAAACGGAAAAAGAGTTAAAAATATGACCAAATAAAACGCATTAAATATGGTTGTCTAATGACGGCGCAATAAAATAATCGTCAATAAATAAAAACTAAACAAAATTACAAGTTAAAAAATTATGGTCAAAAGCGCGCATTAATAAAAACAAAATGGAAATGTCCGGACATTTCCGTTTTGTTTTTATTAATGCGCGCTTTTGACCATAATTTTTTAACTTGTAACTTTGTTTAGTTTTTATTTATTGACGATTATTTTATTGCGCCGTCATTAGACAACCATATTTAATGCGTTTTATTTGGTCATATTTTTAACTCTTTTTCCGTTTTATTTCACTCGCTGTTCATGTATTATTATATTTTTGCGCTGAAGATGATCGAAAAATCGATCGAAACATTCGCCTTTAACGTACCTATATTTTGATCTTTTCTGTATTATTGTAATGTCACCGTCGACATAAACTTATTTTGATGTACATTATGACATAATTAAACTTTTATAATATACTTATTTTCTCGCTCTACAAGCCCTTTATAACTAATTGCAATTATTTATATTATCTAATATTAATGAATTATATAATATTAAATTTCTCTTCGAATCAAATTAGCACAAGTAAAGCAAAGTATAAATTGAGATGATATCTTAATCTTTTTCTATATTTTCTCTTTTCTTTCTTTATGCACAATTCACTGCGTTTTATTTCTTCGATAAAAATTTATTGCAAAAATAAAGAAACCTTGAACAGTTGCATCTCGTTTATTGAAGATCTTGCAATTTTTGCGCGCGCCCTTCGTTATCGGTGTTCCTATCGTTCCAGTGACATCACGCGTAGGAAATACATTCGAGGACCGGCACCACTTGCCGTTAAACGGGGTGAGCCAACACTTGTCTTCAGCCCCATGAAAAGTTTTATCCGACCAATGGGAATCGCTGGTGCCGCCGTGCACCGCCCAATCACGGCAAGATCGTCATTGAGAAGGACGAGCACAAACGGGAGGAAAGCGAGGTCTTAAGAGGATCTGTTAAGGATGGTACCGGCACACTGTTACTTGTGTCTTGGAAGACAGTGAATCGGTAACAAGTCAGTTCGTATATATCGCGCAAGATATTGAGAAATAAATCCATTGATAAAAGAAATTACCGAAAAAAATTGATAAAAGAAATTACCGAGGAAAATTTTCGTAAAATTGTTTCGCAAATTCTTTTGTCGTAAAAGTTATGAGTGGATCAGGAAAGAGTCTGCTCGGGGTGTGGCTGTACAGAAGAGGCAAGAATTGGGCTGTCAAAGAAGGAAGTCCGTTACATAAATCGCGCAATGTATGTTATTATATATATTTGGCCAAATCAAAAAAGCAGATGATATATAAAGAAATGACAAATTTTATTTTGTCTTTAACGAGTCAATAATTTCATACAATTAAAAGGGAATCATACATTAATATCTATAACAAATTATAAGTATATTTTTTATTGTTTAATTTATTTAAATAATCAATTTGGTCTTATATTTTATCAAGAGCTTAAATATTATTATATAAAAATGCAAGTATTTTAAAATGGAATTTATATGATAATAAATAAGAAAATTGAAACAACTATTTTAGTAAGTAAATTCATCCTCTCGTTCATTCAGCACACCATGGATGAAAGTAATCAAACCAATGACAATAAGAATTCTGTGATATTTTCCCTGAAGAATCAAATCGGTGGCTTGGCTCGAACACTTCAAGTATTTCAGGTATGTTTCTGTAATTTTTGTTTTCGATATATGTGCTTACGTTAAAATTTATATGATATTCTCTTCAAATATTTTAATAATTATGTAGTGTTAAAAATAAAATCAAATAAAAGGATTGTTTTATGAATGTATACATATAATTGAGGAACAAAATACAAATCGCGAATGAATTCGTAAATCTCGCAACGTTTCTCTGATCGCGCTTGTCGTCTTTTATACGTTATATTTCTCGTGGCTCGCTAACGTTCATGTCAACTCGTCCTAGAGGTCGATCCTTTTTCGCAAAATCGCAAATATAAGCATTCCAATATAGATAAGAATATTCAATGTGTCGGAAACTGTTACACGAGTGAGTTATTTAATTTAAGTCCCTACACACACAATTTAGTTATTTAGTTATTTAATTTAAATCCCTACAATTATTTAGCAAATCTAAATGAATAATCGGAAATCAGAGGATAAAAAAATGCAACATGTTAGAAAATTCGAATATCGCAAGATCATTATCGTATGACCATTTATGCTAAGACAGCCTTTTTAATCAACTTTTATCGTTAGATAAATAAAGATAAATGAATAAAGATAAATAATTATAAATATTATAAATAAGAGATAAATTATTTTATCATTATAATTTGTAAGATTAAAATTTTTCAATATGTATTTTTTAATTTATGTATAATATATATTTTTCATTTTATTAATTATAATTTACTAATTTTTATCGGATAAATTATATAATTAAATTTATAATGCTTTATGCGACTAATACATTTCAATATGTGCAATACTTACTAAAAAATTATCTAGAGATAATCTTTTTCCAAATTCCGAGCATAAGTATTGCACATATTGAAAAGTACGTTTGGAAAATATTGAGAAAGAATATATTTTTCTTGATCGTACAAAGGATCTAGGAATAAACATCATACATATCGAATCAAGAAAGTCTACGCGCCGTGGTTCCGAATACGACATCCTCGTAGATGTCGAATGCGATCCGAAAAAGATGGAACAATTGATGAAAATGTTGAGCCGCGAAGTAGCGGCTGTCAATCTTGCACATTATGAGCAAATCGGAAATATACCACACGCACCTTCTCTCTCGGCCGCGACAAGCTTCGGTAAGTCATTAATATGCAATATTAATAGAATATGAATAAAATTTTTTATTTTTCATTATAATGAGATATACAATTAAATTCAATGTTAACATCCGTATATTGTTTCTGTAAATGTTATTATATTGCATCTATAACTTAATCCAATAAAGCTCCGATACGATAAAAATTTTATTGTATCACACTTATATTTTAATCTTAATTGATAGTTAATATTTAAAAATTAAAAACATATTAATAATTATTATAATAATTTAGCAAATATTGTTAAATAATTTAGTAACTTGTTAAATATTTGGACACAGATAATTTTAAATTTAAAACTTTAATTTAATTATTTAATAACTGCATTTAACTTGTTAAAATATATTTTTTTTCTCATAATCATATATTTAATATATCAATATATATTATTATAATCCAGAATAAAAGAGTCTGATTGTTTCAAAGATTAAATAATTTAGATAAGATATCAGAATTCATTAAAAACATTCTTGTGGCGAGGATTACATTTGAAAATTTAATAAAATTGATATCAAAGTTTACTATACGACGCTTTTATTATTTCTGCCTTTTTCAAAACATTTGAAAATAATGGAATATTTTATATCGCGTGTGTCAAGACGCAATAGATTTCGATTTTATAGATTTTAGTGAAGTAGACATGCCCTGGTTCCCGCGAAAGATATCGGACCTCGACCGTGCGCAGAAAGTTCTCATGTACGGCTCAGAATTGGATGCGGATCATCCCGTACGTTTTTGATATGATTACATGCATCTTAGATGCTGTTACAGCAACTTCTTCTCGAGTTTATGTTTACTTTAACGAAATTACTGTTGCAGGGCTTCAAAGATCCCGTGTATCGTAAACGTCGCGAGGAGTTTGCCAATATCGCTTATAATTACAAATAGTAAGTAAAGTAACGATTCACGCGTAAAATATTTTCCTTTTAATAAACTTTCTAATGACATAATATTTTAGTGGTCAACCAATACCGAAGGTGCAATATACGCCGGAAGAAATTAGAACCTGGTACGTTTTTCACATAAAAAATATACCATAGTTGCAACAATTTTTAAAAATACATTTTGCTTAATAAACTCGTTTTAAACTATTCAGAAAAATTCAAAAGAATTTAAAAATAAAAAGAACGAAAAAAATAACTTAAGAAAAATTTATAATTTTTAAATATTGAATCTTTAATGCTAATTTTAAAAATAAGTAGATAGAGAAATCCTAAAAAAAACTCTTCTGCGAACATATTTAAGAATCATTTGTAATATATCGTAAGTCTTGAATTAATTGTCCCCATTGACGTCATCATTCGAGATACGGCATATAACTTTTCCTCCAATGAAACTACAAACGATACGGCAAACGTGTTTTCGCGTACATGAAGGCAATTAGTATGAATAAGAGAAATGAAAGATTTTCTCGATACTTAAGTTGATACATATTCGTTCGATATCTTCGATTTCATCTCTCGTTAAGAAAAGATAAATTCTATCTCTTTTTTTTCTTCTCTGTCTTTTCTCTCCTCTTCTTCTTTCTCCCTCTATCTACTTACCTATCTATCTCTTCCTACTTCTCTTTGTAGTGCGAATCGAAGTAAGATTGGCACGCTGAATGCACCCTTAATTGCGTCAATTTGATTTATCCTCGAGGTGGCATCGAGTAACAGCTTGGCTAATGCAATCTCTCTGAGATGCAACTCGAATGCAACGAAACAAACTTTAACAAACTTAATCAGAACGCGAGCTTTTTAGCAGAAGTCAAACATTTAATGATTTGATAACGATAATTAATTTATTTAACGTTTAATTTGTAACGTTTAAAAAATACATCCAAAATATACGTGTCCTAGATTAAATACATATTTAACATATAATATAAAACGTTGCTTAATATAACATGTAATATAATATAAAGAAAATTATAAATACACATATACATAATAACTTAATTATTTAAATAAATTTACCTTATTTTTTTAGGGGAATTGTTTTCCGTGAATTGCATCAACTTTATCAAAAATATGCGTGCAAAGAATACTTGGAAAATTGGCCGAAGTTAGTCAAATATTGCGGATACAGGTATAAAACAAGGAGATAATTAACATAAAATCTTACTTTAAAAACATAAAATGTTATTAAAAATAAGTAATTATCCAAAACAAAAATGTGCATATATATTATAATATTTTGTATATAATGATACTTCCATCCATCATAATGATTTTTATAATTTTATAATTAATTTTATTTTAAAAATCTAAACACATAATATTGCGAGATTTACAAGAAAATAACATTTTTATTCTTTTAATCTGTTACATTTTTTAATCTCATCGCTTTTAGGGAGGACAATATACCGCAATTGCAGGATGTAAACAATTTTCTAAAGCGTAAGTGAGAGATGATCGCTGATGATAATTATGTTATTTATACGTTTTACAAAAATAAGACGCTTTTAAATGAAAATATTTGCCAGGAACCACGGGATTTCAACTTCGTCCAGTCGCGGGTTATCTCACACCGCGGGATTTCCTTTCCGGACTTGCTTTCCGAGTATTTCACTGCACCCAATACATTCGACACTCTTCCGATCCATTTTACACGCCGGAACCGTGAGTAAATGACGTCTTTTTCAATCAAAGTAATGTGTAAAAGATAAAATATGCACCAAATAAGTATAATAAAGTAAACTTTCCTAATTATGATTTTCTCGCATTATATTATATCATCGACATAAAATAATTAATTTATATTTCGCAATTTATAGAGATTGTTGTCATGAACTGCTAGGCCACATGCCGCTACTTGCCAATCCAAGTTTCGCGCAATTTTCTCAAGAACTTGGTCTGGCTTCTCTCGGTGCATCGGACGAAGACATAGATAAATTGGCAACAGTAAGAGTCTTTGAAAAGAATTTCATCTTCCATCACATTGATACAACCTCTATTTTTTCAGCTATATTTCTTCACCGTGGAATTTGGATTGTGCAAACAGGATGGTATGTATCGCGTTTACGGGGCCGGTCTGCTTTCGTCGGTGGCGGAATTGAAACACGTTGTATCCGCGCCCGAAAAAACCATGAGATTCGAACCGGACATCACGTGCAAGCAGGAATGCATCATTACCGCCTTTCAGAATGCGTATTATTATACAGATAGCATAGACGAAGCGAAAGAGAAAATGCGGCAAGTATCTCCCTTTGCGACATACATGTTATACATGTGTCAATCTTTTCGTTCGAACACGTTCAACTCTTTTTCTATGAAAACAAATAAGATCATATATAAGCAAAGATGATCATATTAATATTTATACAAATCTCCAGAGCGTTTGCTAATCAAATTCAACGACCATTCGGGATACGCTACAATCCGTACACTCAGTCGGTGGAGGTGTTGACGGATGCCCAGAAGATCACGGCTGTGGTCAGCGAGTTACGAGGTGACTTTTGCATAGTGTCGAACGCTCTGAGGAAGATTCACGAGCAGGACGATACCGTCGATGTCGAGAGGATAACCAGTCTATTGACTCAGGGTATCGAGATTCCGCAGGAAAATAGCTCGTCTTCGGATAGCGATGTCAGTCCTAATGTCGAGGAGTCTCGTCCCCAAGAAGATCAGCACGTGCATTGCGATGATAAAGATGCAGTCGCTATGGGAAATTAAGCAATTGATATCATCAATTTAATTGCATGCTTTTTAAAATGTTGACAATGTTTGAGAAAATCGAGACACAAAATTTTAGAAATAAATTTTCTCGCGAATACAGAGATATGACTTTCTGTTATCTATAGAAAATTAATATAATTATTTTGAGAAGTTAATCGATATACAAGATCAAAAGATAGATGTATAATATATCCATATTCCCGAATAACTAGCGGAATATGTATATATTATCTATGAATATCCATGGATGTCTTATTTGATTTGGATGAATATTTATGAAATCTCATATAGCGGACATTTGGATATCCAGTAGATATCTAATACAAATTATGTTATATTCTGTATGGATACTTTAGAGTAAATAATTAGATTTTAACAATATGTATGCAATATGTGAAATGAAACATAATGAATGTATTCAACAAGAATTTTTCCTCTCGTAATCACAGGGAAATTGTGCAAAATAAATGCAAAAATTAATGAAATCGGAAATTGTAAAATTTTGATTCATCAGCATAATAGCAGCATATATTTGTTAAATGTACAGGCAAAATATTATATAGAATGCCATCAATGTATCGTAATTAAATTAAAAATGAATGCAAAGTTATAATAAATTTAATTTCCCTAATTTAAAACTTTACACACACACACACACACACACACACACACACACACACACACACACACACACACACACACACACACACACACACACACACACATACTTTATCTAAATTTTTAAAGTAAAACTCTATTACTTACTTATATTAACTTAAATATTATATACATTTTTTATATTATTTAAAGATAATTTTAATTGTATATTTTCGACTGAAGTCTTCTTTTTATAAATTTTATCGAAAAATTAAGACATTACAAAGGGCGCACTATTTAATTCTTTTTATCATATAATAGAGAGAAGACTGAGAGGTGTCATGGCCCGCTTTTAGACGGTCTCTGGAAGCCGTACTCCCTCTGTGGACATTAAAAACATGAACATGAACTACAAAGCCAATGTCCACGAATGTTCTCAAAGGGTAACATATATGTCTCTCTGATAATATAAATAATATAAATAAAAATATAAATAATTTAATTAATAATAATTTATTATATAAAATTATCAGTATGTTCTCTCTTTTCACGCTATAACGCTATAAGTCAATCCTTAAAATGCAAAACTAAATATTATAGAATTTGACTTCGGAGCGGTCGAAAATAATCGAATAAATTCAAATAATTAGCTCCGTGATAATTAGTTTGATAAATAATCAATTTTATGACCGCAATTAAAAATTGAAACAGGGTGTATAAAATGTAAAAGGGAATAAGAGAAGTAATTATGCAGGGTGTATAAAATGTAAAAGGGAATATAATAAAATGTATAAGAGAAATAATGTAATGATCTTTCGATGTGCTGTTAATCATAATATTTTTCGTGTTATATTTAATATAATCAATATCAATACAGCAGATAAATTGGTAGATTCGCGAATCACAATTCACGTAGAATGGAGATTTATTATTAAATAGGAGAACAAATTTTAAATTTACTCCGAGATACTACATGGATTTATGCAGAAATGATCACATGTATATATAAACGATAAAAATACGATAAGATACTTAAATTTTTTATGAAATAAAAATAAATTAATTCTCATCGATGCAATGCGGAACAACAGAATTATAGTATTTAGTAAATATAATTAAATAGAAATAAATTCAAGTCATACACAAAGTGGTAATAAAACAAATAATTAAGATGATTTAGAAAAATTATTGCATGCAATTAAATTCTTTTTTAAATATATTTTGTCATTTTGCTACATGATAATAATACGATATATCTCAAAAAGTTATGACTCACTCGACATTAATTAAAATCAAAATCAAAACGCGCTACTCGCTGTGTAAATAAAAATGGTACAAATTAATAATCACTAATTGCAAAAATTATACAGATCAATCGCATTTTGAAGGATCGATTCTCGACGAATGATTCGAGTCTTCCCGCGAGAAGTCAAAATTGAGTTCCAACGCGTGACGCGCGTAAACATAATGTAATAATTCGTCATATAACAATTCTTTTAAGAAAATAACCGGTATATTGAAACAGTTTCACCAACTAGTCAATTGATCGGTTTTTATGTCAGTAATTAAATAGGTAAAACTGTTTCGATATACTGATTATTTATTTTAAAAGTTTATTCATTGTTGCCGTGATGTTAACGTACGGAATAAACGGAATACATTCGTAAGTTTTATTATTAATAAATAGTTGATTTGACCATTGCTCTTTCCATTATTCGAAATACTCGATTATACGATTGGAAAATAATTAGAATATAATTTCGGAACACGTATTTTGCGTGATGCGTTCATTTAATTAAGCAATTAAAAAGAATCGAATGCAATTAAGAATCGATGTGTGTGACCGCAATCAAAATTATAAATTATCATTTTGTTGCAATCCTTAGGAACAATAATTATTCTTCTTTTGATATTTATAATTAAGAATATTTCGTCCGATGCTTTATCATATAATTATGTGATGATTTAAATATATATAATTCGTCCGAGAACGCACAGTAAAATGATCGGCAAAATCGAATAATTAACGTAATGGAAAGCCTTGTGATGTATATTAATCGTTTAATAAATAATTAATCTGTGTGTACATGTGTATGTGACTTTAAAAATATACTTGTATATAAATTCAATTTTCGTATATGTACGTCATAGTACGCGTAAAATATTTCAGCAGCGAGGTCAATAACACGACATTCGGTCTTGACGTAGCGCTGTATTGTTTACATAGGCGAAGACCTTGTATCATTCGCACGGCGACATTACAGTAGTAAAGTAGTGATACGGAACACTTCGTATTATTGAATTCTTTTTCTATAACAGTGCGATCGCGATTAATATCGAAATATAATTCGCTACGACTATTACAATTAACAATTAATTAACTTTTAATAAATAACATGAAACTATATGCGATGATACATCCATCAAAACGCGATCCTTCATTATTCAAAATAAAAATTGAAACAAAAGAGGCAAAAATTATAAATACATAGACGACCATGTATTATTCACACGACATTCCAACGGCAAAGTAGTGATATAAAACGCTTCGTATTATTGAATTCTTTTCCTAAACGCGATCGCGATTAGTATTGAAATATAATTCGCTACGACTATTGTAGAGCGAATCGTACATCTTTATCCCTTATACGATATATTAATGTGCGTTTCTCGCAATTATTCCGCGATCGGGAGTGCCGCGCAAAAGTCTCGCAATCGTTTCTATAGTATATGACTAAATATAATTAATTGTTTGTTCGCGAGTGAATATGAGTGCTATAAAGAAACAGCAAAGGATGAAGAAGAAAAAAGGACATCTGGAAAAGTATCGGACACTCAGAGAGCAGTGAAAGAGCCTGAAGCAGTCAGAGAGATATGCGGTGAGTAATTTCTAAAAATTAATTATTACTGTTATTATTAGTGAGTAATTTATAAAAATTATTTATTTATTATTATTATTTATATATGTATTATTTTCAAAATAGCTATATTGTTTATTATATATATATATATATATATATATATATATGTGTGTGTGTGTGTGTGTGTGTGTGTGTGTGTGTGTGTGTGTGTGTGTGTGTGCGCGCGTGCGTGTGTGTGTGTGTGTTTGTGTGTGTGTTAAAGTACGTAAAATATTTCGATGACGAACATATTAAAAATAAATTAACTTATGATAAAGATCATGAAAATGTATCGCAACGATATCTCAATCATTAATTACTGCGAATAAAAATTGAAAAAGGGAACATAAAAGGGGATAAAGAAATTAATTTGATTATAATTTTTCGATTATTAATGCTTATTATAATAATTTCTTTAACGATACTTATTAAAATTGAATAAATTTCGACCAATGCTTTAAATTTTCTTAATCGACAATCATTCATAGAATATTTCAACGACGTTTTATGACTTACGATCATTCGCACAGTTACCTTGAACAATAAAGCAGTGACGTTTCATATATTATCAAATTCTCTCTCTACATAGTCAATCTTGGCGATATAAACAGTACCGCGGTAATGTTTCTGACCTACGATCATTCCCTCAGTAGCCTTCGAACAATGAAGTAGTGATGTGAGACGTTCCATATATTATCAAATTCTTTCTCTAACAATTATTTTGAACATTGCTTTATATAATAGATTTTCTCTTATCTTTTATAGTTTTATTTATCGTTTATATTTGCGAATTAAAATTTATATAGTATATTACAAAATTAATTATATATTATATTATATATAAAATTATATATAATATAATATAACCTTCCCACGGGGTACACCTTGTCGCGGTGGGAAGGCTTAGTACCTGGACGGTGCCTTGAGGTTTATCTTAAATTTTCCAATTTATGATAAATCTTAAAGTGTCTGAATGGGAAGCTAAGTACCCTTTCACGTCGTCGGTGCCGTCAACGTGCCGCGGACGGCAAGCGCTTCGTCAACGCGTCGCGTTAAGTATATACATATTAAAAAGTGCCGTTAAAGGTATATACATATTAAGTATATACATCGCGCGATCAAATATAAAATTTTTAATCGCATTTAATCGAAATAGTGCGGGAGTGCCGTTCAGTATCGCACGTAAAATAACGAAAATAGCGATATAAAAATATCGCTCGCGAGTGCGGGAGTGTCGTCAAAGTATCGCGCGCCAACACCATGAGAGAAGGAGGAGGCCTAAGAGAGGCATCTTACATCGGCGGAGCGACCTGATGGTGAATATCTATTATTTATATATTAATTTTTATAAATCGTTAACTTGTTATAAACAAATAATAATTCGATCTTATTTAAATGAATTAAAGAGAAGGATTTTTATAAAAGTCATATAAAATTTTCTATTTAAAATACAATTTCAAAAATTTATAAAATTTTTTCATACGTGTTTATCTGCTTATTATCTTACACATCGGGTATAAAATTCCACGCAATAAACATTTTTAAAAATATTAATTGCATTTTGTGAGCATTATTATAAATGAATTTTATATTTGTATGTTACAGACAACCAACTTCGATAACAACAACTCCGCTGTTGTGCATCAGTGCCGGTGAGTGAAAAAATTTCTATTTAACTTTAAGGTAACGAATTCGTAGAGATTACAGATGTAGATG